CCATGGTTTCTCTTGGAAGGAGCACTTACATCACTTCATTCAAGACAGGTCCGGTGTCTTCTCTGTGGCCCTGGGGTTCCCAGGCACCTGCCATAGGCCCTTATGGGTTGATTAGCCCCTCACCCCGTTTCCCTTCTTCTGGAAAGGTCGTGGAAACTTCCTTCAGCCCAAGAGCTGAGTGAGCACCAGAGCCCAGGCCGGTCCTTGCACTGTATCCTCATGCCCAGTGGTTGGTTCGGGGGATGGTCATGTGGCCCAGGTCGGCCCAATCACAGTGGAGCCAGGACTGTACAGGAGCAGCTGAGGACAAAGCTCTTTCTTTCTCCTTGGACTTGAAGCAATAAAAGCTGGTAATGACTGGCTTCTCTTCGGTAAGTTAGAGGGTGTTTCATGAGAATTTTTACCCCGTTACATGAGCTCAGGAACTGGGGGGATTTTGTGTTATTGGAGAGGAAAATGCATTATTGCATGAAATCCAAGTTTAAAGTAAGCCAGTCCTCAGAACTTAAACCAGAGACCAAACGGCACCAAGCGTGAGGCTGCATGCTGTCTTGTCTCTCTCCCAGCGGTGCAGCTTCCTTGTCCCTCTGTTCAAGGCCACTTTCCGCCAGGCTCCAGGGACAAGGCACAAAGCCCCCAGCTCGCTCACCTCACTCACACCACCCGCTTCTCACTCCTGGCGACAGCTTGCTGAGGCACCCAGCCCTGATCCAGCTGATCTGACCAGAGCAGTGGGGTCCTATGCTATACACTTGGCCACGGAGATCTACCCTGGGGTGGGGGTGGGGGCTATTTTCAAAGAAAACGCTTTATAGACAGCCCCAAATACCTGGTATACATGCCTATGGAGCTTGTCTTGGCATTCTCACTGAGGTAAAAGATTCTCCTCTCGGTAAAAAGATGTAAAGGCGATTTTTGGACGATGGGGGTCATCTGATAAGCAAGCACATGGTCCGCTCTGACCAAGTCCCTGTGGGGCACGCACTCCACAGGGAGCAAAAAGAAATGAAGGGGCTGGTCCGAACGCTCCCACAGTCCTTCCCCATGACGTCACAACCCCTCCAGGAGCACGGGGGCAGGGGGAGAGGATCCACAGCCCTCAGTGGCTCCCACCTCCCTCCAAACCGGCCCTCACTCCACTTGCTCTTTGGTGTGGTGGTCCAGCTCCCTGAGCTCCCTCCCCTCCTCTGCCCCAGCCACCACCCGTTCCCGCCCATCACTCCCCCTTGTCTCCTAAAGAAGTCGGGATCACTTTTACCTCATTGGCTGTGCCACTTTGGGAAAATTGCTTCATCTTTCGAGCCTCAACTAGGTTACTTATCTGAAGATGGGGTAATAAGAATACACTCCTGAAGTTTGATAATATCTACCCCCGATATGGAAGTATTTACCCTTTAGCACAGCAATCTCACTAGGGATCTATTCTACAGATAGACCCACACACATGCGAATTGGCAATTGTGAGGTTATTCTTCATATTCTTTGTCATAACAAAATATTGAAAGCCATCCAATTGCCATCAATGGGCCAAGTTGCATACGCCACGCCATACTCATCTCCCAGATCTATTAGGCCAAAAAAAAAAAAAAGGCGTGGGTTTAAGATATAATAAAAAATCAGTAGTGGGTCTTCGCCCCCAATTCCTGGCACAGAGAACCTAAAACCTTCAGAATTGATTATCTTTTGTATGCTAATGAGATGACTGAGTCTGGGGCCCCTATACATCAATCACTAGCTGTTTAATCAATGATGTTTGTAATGAAATCTTGATAAAAACCCCTAATGGGGTTTGGGAATTTCTAAATTGGTGAGTAAATTAATGTGCTGAGCAGGCAGTGGGCTTGGAGAGGGCATGGAAGGTCTGGCCCCTTTGATGCCTCCTCCCCCAGTAACCTGCTCTCTGCTTCTCTTCCACTTGGCTGTCCCTGAGTTGTAGCCTTGATAATAAAGCTAAAATCAGAAACAGAGAACTTTCCTGAGGTCTGTGAGTCATTCCAGCAAGTTAGCCAACCTGATCGGGGGCAAGGGTTGGGGGAACTGATACATTTGCAGCCAGCCGGGCCCATGTGCTGGTATCGGCAGAGGGCAGTCCTGTGGGACGGAGCCCTTCACTGGTGACCTGAGGCTCACCGGGTGGAGTGTCAAAACTGAACTGAATTGTTGGCCACCTGCCTGGTGTCAGAGAATGGGTGTAGAAAATGGCATATATTTGTTGTTCAGGAAACAAAATACACTCTTGGTGTACTAGTAAAAAGCGGCACCAGAAAACAGTCACGCAGTGCTGTATGCAAGCTTCTGCATGAGAAGCAGAGAGGAGTAGGACTGCATGTTGGTATGTCCCTGTGTTTTCACGATGAGACAGTGGGAGGATAGACCAGGAAGCCATAACTATGGTGACCTAGAGCAGGGTGGGCAGAGGCAGGGAGGGGCAGGACTTCCCTCTGTCTAACGTTCTTGTAGCTCTCATCTTGAATCAGGTAAGAGTGCCACCTCCAGCCTCTTTCTGGGCTGTACACACCCAACGGGAGGATAACCAAAGGGGACATTTGTCACGAGGGTCACAGGGAGGGAGAAGTGGAGACGACGAGGTGAGTGCCCCCAATGAGATGAGCAAAGCAGGAGCCCTGAGAAGGGTCTGGTGCTCCTACAGAGGTGCAAGCCCTGCCAACACACAGGGCCGGACTCGGCCCTGCTGGCCCTTGACAATCATGTACATCACTAGGAATTGGCATTAAGTAGCTTCACTTTGGCGGAGACGGGGGAAGAAACAGGGAAGGGGAGGAAGGAGAAGGGAAAGAGGAAGGAACAGAGTGGAGGCGGCAATTTCATGTTCATTAAACACCTCCTCTGTCCCACGGGATGCTTCCTCTCCTACATGAAGTTTTAATGCCTCTGCCTCTCCCATTTATCCCCCCACCTCTTGTCACTCGCTCAGTGCTGCATTGTTCTGGAAGGATGAATGAGGCGTGCCTTGCACAGGGCGCTGCCTTCATTCATTCGGGTCCCTGACAGTTCCTGGTTTTCTCAATTTCCCTGCACTGAAAACCACTCAGATCCCGACAATTCTGAGCGCTCCTGCCAGCAAAGAATAAAGGAATTGCATATTCAGTGACTGCAGGACCCGTGGGTTTATAATGGTCTGAATAACAGGTAACTTGATCTCTCTGAAGCGTTGAGATACTTAAGAGTCATATAAAAGAATTTTGGGATTTAGAGAATACCTGTCTTCTGGGGTAAAAAGTAATTATCCTGACAATTTTGATAAATCAAATTCTATTACTTTGAGGAACATTCTAAGTTCAAAGATGTGCTTCCATACAAAACTTTTAGTAACAATAGGAGCTGGTGACTAGTTAGAGGCAAACTTGCAGAGTGGAAAGCTGTGTCCTGTGCCTTCAGGGTTTCAAAACGTTTGCTGCATCCCATCGTCTCTTTCCATTTGACTCCGGGATGGAGCTGTGGGGTAGGCAAGATGGGCTTACCTTCTCCTTTTATAAGTGATGACATTGAGGCTCAGTTGAAGGCCTGTCCCCATCGGGGATTTGGTGGCAAAGCCAGTTCTTTAGACTCAACAGCCCTTTCTGCCGGGGCTCACAGGGTGCAACCTGGGAAGGTGAGGGCCTCGTGCTCTGCGGGCCCATGTTTGGTTCAGTGCTGTGCTATCACTATCTTGAAATCCTCAGTACTTTTGAGCCAGGAGCCCTGTGTTTGCTTTCTGCACAGAGCCCTGCAAATCCTGTTGCCGGTCCTGCTCACAGCTCCATGGACTCCCCTCTGACCTCCACCCAGATCCCAGCAAGGCCAGCACGTCTGGAAACAGATTCCTGAACTTCCCAGCTCCCTCCCTAGCATCGGGGTCTGCAGGGTCTGTCGGCTCCGGGTCCCAGGCCTTCCATAAACATGGCAGCCCTGACCGGTTTGGCTCAGTGGATAGAGCATCAGCCTGTGGACTGAAGGGTCCCAGGTTCGATTCCGGTCAAGGACATGTATCTTGGTTGCTGGCACATCCCCAGTAGGGGATGTGCAGGAGGCAGCTGATCGATGTTTCTCTCTCATCGATGTTTCTGACTCTATCCCTCTCCCTTCCACTCTGTAAAAAAAAAATAAAAAAAAAAAAAAAAAAAAATAATATTTTTTTAAAAAAAAAAAAAAAAAAAAACATGGCAGCTTCTCGTGCAGCTTCGCCTCCTGCAGAATAAATTAGTGCCCGTCTCCATCAGTTCATCAAAGTCAAAATCCTCTAAAATGAGTTCAATTAAATCAAGAGGCTCTTGGGTTTTCTCAGATTCGACGTGATGAAACCCACTCAGAATACTGGGTTCCTCTCTGATCTTTAGCTGGGGCTCTCTGTCCAATTCCCTGCCTCTGATGGTCTCCGGTTCTTGACTGAAAAGACAGGAAAAAGAGAAAGAGGGAGGGAGGGAGGAAGAGGGGGGGAGGGACAGGCTAAAATGAAGAAAACCCCCTCCTTCCTGACACTCCCAACTCCCAGAGATGTATTCTAAGTCTCGAAGGCTTAAGAACATTGCAATTGGTAGAGAAGATCAAATAAAACGTGGTCACTCCTGGCTACTAATTATCAAGAACTGTGAGCAGCAGAGCACAGCTAAATGCCCCTGAGAGCTGGAGAGGCCAGCCTCGGGCTGCTGGCCGTGCTGTTCGCTCTGGGGCCTGTCCTGGACCTGCTGGCCCTCACGGGCCCAGGACAGAAAGCCCCACATCCTATGAGGTGAACGGTGGTGCCGAGGGAGCAGCCAGCTCTCTCCCCACGCGGTCTCCTCCCGACCACCTTGAAAGCTTTATTTGCCTCGGATGGCCCCCAAATCCTTCTCCAGCCTTAGTATTCAAGCAGCCCCTAGCTCGTCTGGCTCCAAATGTGATTTTAGATGGAGTCTACTTCCTGAACGCTAACAGCCTCCATCCTCCCCAAGGTCCAGGGAACGCTGATGCATACCCAGCATATAACACCAGCGAGAAAAACCCACAAATCTGAGGAAACATTGAGACGTTTTTATTATGCATTCGGCAGTATTTCGTGAGTTTAGCACAATGCATGGAATTCTCGCCCAGATAGTCTTGCCACTGAGCAAAACAGTGAGTTGCATTTTAAAAATGTAATTCAAACTCCAAGGAACATGAGCTTGGGTTCAGAACACAATGTAAAATCTCTCTATGTAGAGCAGCTTCCTTTGAACAGCCACATAAAGCACTCGGAGGAGAGAAGAGCTGCACAATAAATAATTGCTTCTCTACACCATCCAGGAGCCTGCCAGGGAACCGTCCCTCCGTTTCCGGGGGCTGGACATTCACCTCCACACCTGTCAGAACTCAGGGCACTCAGAGAGAATTAACATCTGGTCAAGGCCAACAACGCTCTGGCATTCATCCCCCTAAACTCCCCCGGGTCGGGACCTCAGCACACACCCCAGTGCCAGTCCTCATGCCTGCTGTGGAGGGGAGGCAGGTGGCCTGGCCCCCGGAGGGGCTCACACCCAATCACATGCTCAGACGCAGTCACCTCAGCCTGGCTGGGACCACGCAGATGAACAAGATGGGGAGCCTTCGGGCGGGCGTCACAATTCCCAGTTGTTCCCAATCATACAGATAAATAGGAATTTACATAATTTACAAATAGTTTGTGTTCGGGGCTTATTTTGAAGCCATTTCCTGAAGACGAACATTTATTCATGAAAGCAAATACGGGATTCACCTAATGGCCTTGACCCTGGGTGGCTTTCCAGCAGCTTCCTGCAGACAAGTTCATGGCGCACGCTGCTGCTCCTCCCCAGGCCACCCCTCCCAGCTAACCAGTCTCTCCTTGTCACAAACATCAAAGCTTCTTTTTTCTTTTCCTTCTTCGTTTCCTTCTTCTTCTTCAAGCACAGCTGGACCTGTCTGTCTAAGTCTTATAAGCCTCCAACTCCTCGAGTCCTGTGCAGCTAGCACTGAATCTACAGCAGCCCCTCCTGGTGCCAGCACACAGCTCCGCCCTGCACATCCTGCTCTACATTAGGATCCAAGTGTGTGGCAGCAGCTGTGAGATGGACATGTGTTTACCTGCAAAGGGTTATCTTGGAGTTACTGACTCGCCAAGAGGAGTCAAGTCGAAATGTGCCAGGCCTCTCCAAACCCTCTCCAGCAGGAAGGCCACGGAGGGTGCCGGCCCAGGGCACATCTGGGATCACTGTCCCCAGAGGGAAACTGGGCTGTTTGGATGGGGATTCTTGGGGAAGGATGTACTGTTTAGGTGAGGACCCTCTGGGTGGGTTTTCTCCCCCAGGCAGGACTCATTCTTTGTCCTCAAAGAGGCAGAAATGTGGACCGTGTCGGGGCAGGAACACGGGCTGGGCAGGCCTCCTGGGGGGCTCCAGGGGCAGCAGGCGGAGGCGGGGCCCACGCCGGGCAAGCCTGTGATGGTGGAGGTCTAAAGACGGCTCTGTCTGTCTGTCCTTGACTTCAACCTACCTTGGAGAAAGGGGGCAAAAGCAAGAGGAAGAGTGTTACGGAAGGTCTCTTTCCTGGCTGAAAAAAGGCAACTTCTCCCCACCCCATGTCTCGCTGTTTCCCCATTTTGAACCGATCCTCCTCACCAGTGCTTCTCGGCAATTTCAGTGCCGGCCACACGCGGAGGAAGGTGTGACTTTCACACCAGCAGGCACTGCCGCCGGCAGCTCTCCCAGCCTAGTTCCATCTCTGATTAGCACAAGCTCAGGACAGCGCAGCCTCCCCTCTGACAATGTGACTCTGGGGATTACTAACTCAAGTCTTACAAGAAAGTAGGGGCCCTGGTTTATGAGGAAAGACTTTTTCTGCCCCAGTGGAGCTTCTTCCAGGAGCTTTCCAGATCCCGGTGGATACCTGTGCCACCAAAGCAGCAAAGGCAAGGCCATGCTTTTCCTGTGCAGGGTCCTCTTGTGTCCTTGGACACACCCCCACATTCCTACCCCAGGACCTTTGCACTTATTGCTTCCTGACTGATATTCCCTCCCTCGCTCATCCCTCTGGTTCACCCCCCTCTTTTCCTTCAGGTCTTTGTGCCAATACCCTTGTCCACTCAACCCCAAATTGCAACCTTCCCTAACACTTCCTCTCCCCGTCCTGGTCCCCCGGTCTCCTGCACGCACCTCACCCAGTAGTTTATATATTTCTTTGCCGTCTGCTTCCCTCACTATTTAAGCTCCATGAAGGCAGACTCTTTGCCTTGTTCCCTGCTGTGCCCAGCATCAAGAACAGTGCCCAGTGCCCCGGGTGTCGCAGGTGCTCAACAATTCTTTGCTGAGCAAATGCATGAGGGGATGTATAAATGATGCAATGGATGGATGGCTTTAATCACATCCCTCCCTTGCCAAGAGGAGTTTGGGTTTGGAGCGAGGAAGAGAAGAGAAGTAAGAATAAAGAGGCAAAACAGGACCAGCTGGGGCCTGACTCATGCTCCCCAGGGACCTCTCTCTGCTGCCTCGGCCCCCCTCCTCCCTCTCCACTTTTATTATGAATGCTGACAGATCCCTCTCTGGGCCACGAGGAGCGATCTGCCACCAATTTGGAAAGCCTCCTGGATACCGAGCATGATTTAATCTCCCCTTGATCAGTCCCTGTAGGAACCCAAGCCACCTCCAGGCTGTTCCCAGGAACATGAATTACCACCCATTGCAGCCGTGTGGGCGGGTCATCCGACAGATTGACACATACATCCAGTTTGGCTGCAGGAAACCCTGAGGATCTCAGATGAAAAAGACAAGCGGGTACAGAATATAATAAAAGGAACTTGGGGAGCCACGGACTTCACCTCTATCCTGCGGCAGTGGCTGAAAAGTAAGAAAGGTTTTGTTTCGCCCGGCCGGCATGGCTCGGTGGCTGAGCATTGACCTATGAACCAGGAGGTTATGGTTCGATTCCCCATCAGGGCACAGGCCCGGGTTGCAGGCTCCATCCCCCCTGTGGGGTGTGCAGGAGGCAGCTGATCAATGATTTTCTCTCATCATTGATGTTTCTATCTCTCTCCTCCCTTCCTCTCTAAAAGCAATATATATATATATATATTTTAAGAAGAAATGTTTTGTTTGTGTTTTTCTATAAGACCTTGGGTTGTGCGGGCCCGGGGAGAGGGGCAAGAGCTCCGAGAGGCAGTGGTCGGCTTGCTTGCCGGGTCCAATGAGCTCCAGGGCTGGACATCACTGTGTTGATGCCACAAGGGATGCCAGGGGTCAGCTCTTAAGGTGCAGGGCAGGCTGGTCAGGGGCAGGGCAAGGAGTGGCTGTCCACAGCCCTGGCCTGCTCTGTCCCCAGAGATGACTTACCAAAGGCACCCCTGCCTGCCTGATATGGGGCACCCCATGTACAGTGAGGTTCCCACTGGCCATCTCACAGGCCAGATGCCACCCCCCCACGTGCCCTCGATGGTGCGATGCCTGGGAAAGCTGTGTCACCTCCTCGGATGCGGGCCTCTGTCCACCCCGCCGGCCAGCACTGCCTCTCCTTGGTCCAATTCTTCGGCCCCTGAGTGCCTGTGGAGAGAGAGCTGACTTAATGAAGCCACCTGAGATTCCTGTGGCTGATTTTTCAGTGTCAAGTTATAGCTTCCTCTTCCCAGCAGGCGTACCACAGTCAGGGCACAGCCACCCCCTCACACCAGCCAGGTACCCCGGCCTCACCTGCCCCAGGACCACTGACACCTGGGAATGATTCAAGGAGATGGGGCACCGTACCTGCCGACAGCCAGGGTTCCGGTGCAGAAACGCTCACAGGCGGGGTCGTGGCTCGCCGCACAAGCACAGCGCAGTGTCCACTTTGAGGGCTGTGGGCTCCGTGGAAACGGCGCTGTGGACCTCCGGCTGCGGGAGTGTCCTCGGTAGCTGGACAGTCCATAGGGCACAGTCTGTCTGCAAAGCACAGAGCAGTGCCCTGGTCATGGCAGGACGAACAAGCGTGCGGCATGGCCATGTCCCAGGACCTGGGTCCACACCCTGCCCCTGCACTTGGGGTTTGAGGTTGCTTCTGCAGTGGACTGTCCACCCCTTATTACCGCTCAACCCCCAGAAAGTGTGCTGGGGCCCCGAAATGGAGAGGTGAGGAGGGCCTGGGGGAGCTAGAGGAGGACATCCCCACATCCTCCTGCAGCCAGGCTGGGGGGCGGGAAGTGGGGGGGGGGGCAGCAGATGCCTCTTGTGGGCACCTGGCCCCTGCGGTCTTTCCTAGTCACGGTTTTCGCTGGGTAGTTCCAGTTTCCTTCCTGCACCCAAACCGCAACACAGACCTTCCCACTGACCCACATGCCGGGCCCAACGATTCCAAAGTGACGCTTTCCTAACCTGCAGCCCGAGGCCAGCCTGGCACCACACGCCTGTCCTGGAATTTCTTTATTTACTTACTTATTCATTCATTTATTTATTTAATCCTCACTGGAAGATACTTTTCCATTGATTTTTAGAGAGAATGGAAGAGAGAGGAAGAGACAGAGAGAAATATCGATATGAAAGAAACACATCGATTGGTTGGCTCCTGCATGAGTCCAGGCCTGGGAGGAGCCTGCAACCGAGGTACATGCCCTTGACTGGAATCAAACCCAGGACCCTTCGGTCCACAGGCTGACACTCCATCCACCGAGCCAAACCGGCCAGGGCTGTCCGGGAGTTACTTCAGCGCCCACGCTAGCCTTGCAGCCGGCACTGACCAGACAACAACTATGCGAACATGGCCGCAGAGACGCATCCTGGCCTTGAACGTCACTGCCTCAAAGAGACCAACTTCAGAGGACCCTTCGTGCCTGTGAGGGCGGCGATGATAGGACCCGCCTTGGGAGCAGGCCTGAGAAGAAGAAGCCTGGAACTGGTTACCAGTTTCGTTTATGGTTGGAGCTGGGAGGAGGTACCCGCCGTTCAGAACAATAAGGGTTAGACCATTTTCACGCTCGAGCGCATCCACACTGCCCTGTGCAGAGCAGGCAGGGCCAGGCAGCGCCGCGGGGACGCTCAGAGCAGATGCCAGCTCATTAGGACCATTGAACGAGATTTGGAGGATAAATTGCCAACAAGTAGAGGAAACTTATGAGGCCCAAAGTCGCTTTTCCAATCCGTCTCAGTTTTCCTGCCAGTCCCCAGCTCGAACCGCCGTGGTTTCCGCGACCCCCCAGAGTCTCACCAATCATCCACCTCAAAGGGGCGTCTGACGTCCTCGCCCCACTGTCAGAGTCAAATCAAATTGAATTGACTTTAATTTGAAACACATGCCATGGATCCTTGTTGGGATGGTGAGGCCAAGTGGGGGGTGCCCCATTTCGACCTGACACCTGGACCCCACTGCCTCCCCGCAGGGCTAGGCCATGCATTATCTGTCGCCCGTGGAAGCTCTCCCTCCGACCGAGGCTGGCCCAGTGCGGACAGCCTGAGCCACCAGCTGGAGAAAGCAGGCGGGGTCCAGTCCTGTTCTGAGCGTCACCTTTGCAAGAAAAACACAATATTTTTCTTCAGGAATGGGAAATGGGGGTGGTGGTGGGGGAGGCAAACAATGCAGACACTGTTGTGAGGCAGGATTTGGTTCGAGGAGCCTTTTCCCAGTCATGGGGCCACATTAAATCTCCCGGTGCTGACATTCAGCCCAGTCCCCCTTCCTTGGTGAAAGTCACACACAGGAACAGCAAAGCTCCTGCCTTCCCATCGACAGCGAGACCTCCTTCTGGAACTGCCCTCAGCCGGCCATGCCTTTCCGTGTGTGGAGCTCCATAACCTCAGTGAAAACGCTGCAGGGTTTCAGGCAAGAAGCAGGCAATGTGGCCTTCGTTAAGAGAGAGACACTAGGCCAGTGGTTCTCAACCTTGGCTGCACATTACAATCACCTGGGAATCTTTTTAAAATCCTGATTTCTGGGCCTCATCCTCCGGAAATTCTGTTTCTTTTGTTACTAATGTCATGGCCTCACCCCATAACAAAGAAACAGAATTTCCGGAGGATGGGGCCCAGAAATCAGGATTTTAAAAAGATTCCCAGGTGATTCTAATGTGCCGCCAAGGCTGAGAACCACTGTGCTAGGCACTCTTCCAGCCGCCAAGGGCAAAGAGCTAGTATGCAAAGGGTTAGGGCAGGACTCTGTCCTTTCCCACAGGGAGAGGCGGGACCTGCTCCCAGCCCAGGTGTTTGATGTGTGCGCTCTGCTGGCCAACCCGGGACCCATCCCTAATGGGAGTTCCAGTTCCATGGCACCCGCCTCCCACAGCTACGAAATTGACTGGTTGTAAATCAATCTGATAAGCTCTAAGTAAGACTGTTCTATCCTTGTACCCGAACAGAGATAGTTTCAAATGCCTTGCAAGGTCAGGCTTGAATTTAGAGCTCCAAGGGCCCTTGGAGCTTGTGTCGAAAGCCGGCAGACTAATGAGATTCAGCACCTTCTCTTCATGCTGCTCCATCCCACGCCCAGGGAGGCTCACCCACCCCCACAGGACACACCCCAAGCTTCCGCTACCCCTCACCTTGCCAGCCGGTGCCCCTTGGCCACTCTGTAGGCCTCGGGCTATATACCTGGGGCCCTGATCTCTCCCTGGGTGTCGGACCCTGGAAGTGGCCCTGGGGATATTTGGGTAGGAGAAGCCAGGACCCTGCATATGGAACATGGTCTAGAAGGGACAGCATGTCCCTTTAGTCCCATAGACTCCTTGCAGTGGGTGGCAGACATGGCCAGAGGAGGGGCAGAGGCAGCCCTCGAGCCCATAGGGACCAGGGTGGGTCATGCTTGACCAGCTCACAAGTAGGAGGCAGGTCTTGCCTTTGTATCTTCCATCAACTTAGCACCAGGTTGGACAAACGGAGGCCCCTGGTTGAGCAGCTGGTAACTAATTGTGAGATAATCTAGTCCAACAACTCAAGATTCTTTCCAACCTAAAATGTCCAATAACCACAAAACTCCATTACAAAGAACTCCAACATTAGCCAAGCATTATATATATATGGAGAGAGAGCGAGAGAGAGAGACCCAGTATCATTCTAAGTGTTTTTGAGATACAGAAAGGCATATGCATGTCTGTGCCTTCAGGAGTTCACAGGTCACTGGAGTATGAAAGCAGGTAAGGTAACATTACATGCCGGTACATACAGGTATGCACAAGGTACACAGAGCACAGAGAAAGGTTATCTGTTAACTCAATCATCATGTTGTAAAACACTTACATGATGGTCACTCCACCCTGTCGACAGTTTCCTGATCTACAAAAGGGTTGTGGGACAGATTGGCTGAGACATGTCACTGCATGGGAAATACGTGCCAGGAGTTACCAGTAAGGTAATGTTAGCTACTCTTTTTGCTTATTTGACCCAGGAATTCAAGTCAGTTGTATCAGGCAGAAATATCCCCTCTACCAAGCCCGCATTTGAGGTGTGTGACTAAGCAATAAAGCGGGGTAAGGGCAATAGAGAACTGGAGAGCCACTTGGCACTGCAATGCCGTTCTTTGCCACCCTTCCTTTCAGCTGGTCCATCACTCCACACGGCCTGTCTAACAAGCACTTGTATTTCGGTTGTCTGGCTGCTCTTCGGCATTTGCTGCTTTTTGAATGGTGAATTGGAAAGACGTAATGGTGGAACCATGAAAATGCAGTTAAAACGGCTGAGAACCTTTGACTAGCATACGCTCTGCCCAATTGTCCTAGCCGATAGGGTTTGGAGCATGCAGTCCTTAATCGAGGTGGGCAGCTCTTCAATCTGCGAGTGCTTCGGTTGTAACTCAGAGCTCCATACTAAAGACAAGCAGGTGAGATGAACCCAGATGCTCTCAGACAAAACAAGACAGCCCTCCAGCACGTGCAGATGCACTGCCTCCTGCGGTGTCTTTACGTGATAAATTGCCCCCCAACATCGTCAGAACATTCATTATTCGCTCGGTGATGGTGATGTCGGAGTCTTATTTATCACTGTGCTCCTTCTTCACCACCTTTCCCCAAATGTCACATATAAACGTTATTAAATATTAACCTTCGAAATCTCCCGTATTCATTCTTTATCTGCAGCATCATACTGAAAACAATTTCTTTCTCTCTGCAAGAAGTTTTTAAATAATGGAAGCTGACTTTACTTTTTTAAGATTCTGTTTTTAAATTCAGTGCTGCCTTTTCATAAATGAATTAATGCTCTCCATCCTTCTGATCAGAATTTTAAGGGAAAGGTACCGATATTCACAGAGGCAACAAAAAGAGCTTCACTAGCCAAATTCCAAAGTCTCAGGAAAGTTATCAAATTGTCACTCTCTCAAAAACCCACTTTCAGCCTCATATTGAATGGCATTCAACAAGCAACTGCCAAGTGGTGTTTGATAAGCAGGCCCTGGACTAGACTCTGGGTGAATATCTTAGAACAAGACAGACAAGTGGCCTTGTACACACAAAGTCTTTTGTTTGTTTTGTTATCTTCACCTGAGGATGTTTCTTTTCTATTGGTTTTTAGAGAGAGTGGAAGGGAAGGAAGGATGGAGGGAGGGAGGGAAGGGAGAGAAAGAGAGAGAGAGAGAGGTGAGAAAGACACATGGATTGGTTGCCTCCTGCATGCACCCCAACCTGGGCTGGGATCAAACATGAAACCCAGGTATGTGCCCTTGACTGGGACTTGAACCTGTGACCTTTTGGTCCTTGGGCCAATGCTCTAACCACTGAACAACCGGGCAGGGCCACACAGTCTTAAATTAGTACAGAGGTCAGCAAATTGGCATTTTATGGGCTTCATTCAATTGGCAGAGGTGTTCTTTAATCTGAATATTTCACATGAACATCTAGCTTCTCTTCATTAACTTGAAGTTATGCTAACACCAACTGCCCTCTCCAACATGTGGCAGTCATCTGGAACTCTATCACTCCATTCTGCCCCAGTCCCCACCACTCCCAGTAGCTTTACACTCGTCC